TTAAAACACTTGAATGGTTAAAACAAAGCACAATTTCCATTGGTCTCACCACTGTCACAGCTGCATTTGATGAGGACACAGGAGAAGGCCTTCTCTGCGGCTGCTCCCAGACTTTGGAACTCCCTCCCACTGGAGGCCAGCCTGGCCCCATCTTGGCTGTCCTTCCACAAGCAAGCCAAGACCTTTGTCTTTCAGATACCCTTTCCCCGAGGGACCCTCTCCCTGAGTGAGTTTTTTTAATGGATGGCTGTGCCTTACTGCTGTGAATGTGGTTTTGGTGTTGCTTTTGTTTACTGTATTTTTATGTGGTATTTGTTTGATCCTTTTCAGTATTTGTACATTTACTGTCTTTAACTTCAAATACTGCCTTTTCATGATGTAAGCCACCTCGGGTCCTTTTCTGAGGAGAAACGCGGGGTACGTATAAACAAACAAATACCTGCTTAATCAACTTGTTGAAGTGTTTAACATATTGTTGGAGGCCTTTCTCTCGATCCCACCACTTTAACTTCTGCATCTCACGGGGAACGTGGGTTCCCCCCCGCCCCGAAAGTGCCCTTTAGTGGCCGGCTTGGGGAAACCTAATCTTCACCAAACATGGGGGGACTGTAGAGGAGAGTTGGGAGAACCTTCTCTGTGATCTTCGAGTCTCCAGCTGGCAGAGGGAACTTTCCTGGGGCAGCACTCTTTCTGGGTTGGATAACTTGGATATCTGAAATCCAGTCTTCACCAAAATTAGGGGGAGTGTGGAATAAAGTCATGGGGGGATTCCCTGTCATTTTGGTGTCTCTAGCTTCCAGGGGAGGCATTTTATGTCCAAACCAATCAATGAATCAAAAATCATTATCAATTTGTTGATTCCTATTCATTGTGGGCATAGATGCGTACAAATACAAATCGACAAATTAGCACATGGAGCGACTCCCAGCGAACACCTGCCTGCACAGGAGATGCCATGTCAGAAGGCATAGCTGGGAAGGAAGGGGGAGAAGTGATACAAAGTTCAGGGAAATTGGACCCATACAGACATGTTGTGGTCTAAGACTCTAAGGCAAAGCTGCTAACAGTGCGCTTTCCCCGAGGGACCCTCTCCCTGAGTGAGTTTTTTTAATGGATGGCTGTGCCTTACTGCTGTGAATGTGGTTTTGGTGTTGCTTTTGTTTACTGTATTTTTATGTGGTATTTGTTTGATCCTTTTCAGTATTTGTACATTTACTGTCTTTAACTTCAAATACTGCCTTTTCATGATGTAAGCCACCTCGGGTCCTTTTCTGAGGAGAAACGCGGGGTACGTATAAACAAACAAATACCTGCTTAATCAACTTGTTGAAGTGTTTAACATATTGTTGGAGGCCTTTCTCTCGATCCCACCACTTTAACTTCTGCATCTCACGGGGAACGTGGGTTCCCCCCCGCCCCGAAAGTGCCCTTTAGTGGCCGGCTTGGGGAAACCTAATCTTCACCAAACATGGGGGGACTGTAGAGGAGAGTTGGGAGAACCTTCTCTGTGATCTTCGAGTCTCCAGCTGGCAGAGGGAACTTTCCTGGGGCAGCACTCTTTCTGGGTTGGATAACTTGGATATCTGAAATCCAGTCTTCACCAAAATTAGGGGGAGTGTGGAATAAAGTCATGGGGGGATTCCCTGTCATTTTGGTGTCTCTAGCTTCCAGGGGAGGCATTTTATGTCCAAACCAATCAATGAATCAAAAATCATTATCAATTTGTTGATTCCTATTCATTGTGGGCATAGATGCGTACAAATACAAATTGACAAATTAGCACATGGAGCGACTCCCAGCGAACACCTGCCTCCACAGGAGATGCCACGTCAAAAGGCACAGCTGGGAAGGAAGGGGGAGAAGTGAGGCAAAATTCAGGGAAATCGGACCCATACAGACATGTTGTGGCCGAAGACAAAGCTGCTAACGGTGCTTCCCCCTTCCCAAAGATAAGGTCCATAACATCTAAAGCCAGGCGTATTATTCTCTTGGGCATTGTGGTCCAGGCACCTCTGGCGCTCCAAATCTGAGAACCATGAAATTAGGTTATAAATAATATCCTCTCTCTTCAGCCTCCCAAATTATGTTCCCCAGGGCAGCCGTTTCACTCTCTGTAAACCTAAGGCTGGCCCTTCAACTCTATTCATAACTTTCTGTATGCTGCCGTAGTTCTACAACAATTTCACTCTCTCTTTTGTGATTTGGTAACTTGGTGACACATATCCTGTTCCGGGTGGGACGAATTAGCTCTTGAAGGAAGAAATCGGACACTCTTGTTGTTGTGCTCAACCATTCCACCGGATGAGAATAAAAAACTTTCTGTTGACGAACAGCCGCCTTCATTTTTTTTTTTTAAAGGACAGGTTTCCATTCAAACGTCACCTTTGCACCCAGACAAGAGAGAACAGCTCTCAGCTTATTCTTCGCTTCCGGAGAGCTGCCACAAACAACCGCAGAGTCTGTGATTGCCTTCGCCATGGAGGTTTTCAGCTGGCTGCTGGTGCTATCCATCATCCTCTACTATTTCAGGAAGCGTGGCCGCCCCAAAGATTTTCCTCCAGGACCACGACCTCTCCCGTTCATTGTCAATATATTTCTATTGGCTTTTCAAAGGGGTTTTCTAAATCCCTTAAAGCAGTTTCAAAAGGTAAGTGGCTATTTCCAATCCTACCATCTGGTCGAGATGAAACGAGAAGGGGACTGCCATGGGTTAATCAGCTGAAGGTGGGGGACATGACAATTAGAATAATACTCGTGTGGAGTGGGTTCTTTTGCGGAAGGTTGAAATATTTCTTCTTGGGATAGAGAATATTGTGTTCAGCATGTTCCATGAGCGTCATGCTACTTCTTGTAGCTAACTAAGCGTCACTCACTATGTCCTTTCAGTTAACTAAACAATATGGACCTGTCTTCAGTTTGTATTCTGGGAGAAAACCTATGGTTTTTATTCAAGATTGGAGACTCGCAAAAGAAGTTCTGTTGACTAAAGGAATCGAATTTGCTGATAGGCAAACCAATCCTATTTTTGAAGTTATCAATAAGAAAAAAGGTATCTGAAAATAAGTTCTCATTTACGTTTCTTTCACTGCTCAATACATGATGTATTGATCAGGTTATTTGATGAGAAATCTTCCTTCCAGGATAGTGGGTGAGAGAGAGCAGGAAATGCACAAGAAGAGGGGGACTAACCCTACACAGAGCTGTGTGTTATGCAAGGCAACCTGTTTTGCCCTTTTCTAGAAGGGCACCCAAATGTCAAAGGTGCAAAGGTTCATTGCTGGAAGGGCGTAATCTCATCCATTCTTGTTTCCCTTGTTCTCCTGAAGGAATAATCATGGCGCCCTATGGCCAGGCCTGGAAGGAACAGCGGAGGTTTTCTCTGATGGTTCTCCGGAATTTTGGGCTCGGCAAGAAGTCGATGGAGGAGAGAATCCTGGCAGAAGCGACGTATTTGATTCAAGCATTTACGGAAAACATGAGTAAGGTTTGGCGGGGAGAAGATAGGCTGGATACTCTCTTCATGACTCTTTCAAGTTGAATGCATTGGGATTTAAGCCAACCCTCTGCTTGTCCTGGGAGGTGGGAGCACCCAAAGGGGCCGGGCCAGGACCTTGTTCAGTTTGTAAGGAGAGAGAGAGAGAGGGAGAGAGAAAGAGGAGAATTACTGGATGTTAGCAAACACAACAATAAGCTGGGTTGAAGGAGATCTCACCTAAACTCAGTGTCTGTGCTAGAAAGTAAAGAGAGGGGTGGGTGCATTCCAGGTCTCATGTTGAGTCCAAGTCATTTGGGGGGGGGGACACCTTGAATGGAGTACAAGATCACCCTACAGTATGACTTAAGTCCAACGGGATTGCAAGTGCCACCACTCAAGTCCCCATCGCGGCCTCCCACCTTTCCATCGTTCTCACGCCCTCCCCGTTCTCTGCCCCTTCTCTATTTCCCTCCCACCGATGTCATCGCTACTGATGTCAAGGGAATCTCAGCTCTGCTCACCCCATAAGAACCCATCTTGTAAAGAGTAAAAAAAAAAGTTGGTGCTGCCATATCTGGAACAAACGCAACTCCATAAAGTAAATAAATAAAAGACTAAGTCCAGTCCTCACATGAATGGAAATAATAGGGAAGTAGAAGGGAAGTGGAAGGGTTCAATTAAATTCTGCAGTAATGTCACAAAGGTCTGTCAAACTAATCCACATCCATGGGGGATGGAACCACCTCTTCAGCCGGTGCAGGCAGGATGTGTGGAGGACCTTATAATCTGAGGAGGAATTTACGTTGCTCTTTCTCTCCCTTTGAAGTAATACACGTAATATTGGCCTTTGGATCTAGGACATGGTTCTGTTCATGATATATGGGATGAGGTGAGGCAACTGAGGGTTACAGAAAGAGGAGATTAATAAAGGTGAGAAAGACATAAGGGTTTCTCCTCCCTCCCACCTGCTGGGGTTCTTTTCAAGGCTGGACACAGCCTTGAACGGGGACGCGGCTGTCTGGAACTCACAAGAACGACGTTGTTGTGGAGTTTCGTGGGTTCATTCAAGGCTGGATGCAGCCTTGAACGGGGACGCGGCTGTTTGGAACTCACAAGAACGTCGTTGTGGTGGAGTTTTATGGGTATGATTGGAGCCGTCCAGGAACATACTCAGTTTTCTGGCCTACTGAAGATGGGGACAGTGGCTGTAGATGGACAGAGGAAAAGCTAAATGCAACCCTTCTGTATTCAATATGGAAAATCCCAGAACAGATGAGATTTAGGATCTTGCAAATCAGGGCGCTGAGGATGATGCATTGGGAGGAGCACATTAATTAACAAGCCCTTAATTTTCCCATTGTTTTATGCTACAGGGGCTCCTTTCGAACCCTTCTGTTTCACGGACCGTGCAGTGTCGAACATAATTTCTAGCATTGTGTTTGGGAAACGCTTCGAATACGAGGATGCCACCCTCCGGAATGTGCTGGACCTGCTCCATCTGAACTTGAAACTTTCGTCAGGACTCTGGGCGCTGGTAAGACCAACTACATACTGTTAAGAGCACAATTTTGACCAATCAAGCTGATCTAAGGGCCAGATGAGCTGACCTTCGTCCAGCTGAAGCTGGGCTAAATGCAAGCCTGGACCAACCTAAGGGACCAGGTATGATCCTTAGCCGTAAGTGGTCCCAGAACCATCAGGTGAACAAGCCTGCACTAGAACACCCAGTTCATATTACTGAGTAGGAGAACCAACATCCTCTTAATGGGAGTCTGTGGACATCTGTTTTGGTTTACTCCTGTATAATTTAAGTTTCCTTGTTTCTTTTTCTTCTTCTATTCTTTACCTGTTTTGTTCATTTTCTGATAGGTTTACAATGAATTCCCACTGTTGAGACGGCTCCCTCTGCCCCACAAAACTATATTTCAAAATGCCGAGAAGATCTTTGCTTTCCTCACAAAAGAGCTGGATGAACACAAGGCAACCTTCGTCCCAGGAGAGCACCGAGATTTTATTGATGCATATCTAGATGAAATGCAAAAGGTATTTGTCATCCTTTCTCTTAGCATAATGAATGCCCACATGTGTGAGAGAGGGTTATTCTCTCAAATCTGTTACATTAAATAGTCTACATATGCCAAAACTCAGTAATGTATTTAGCCTGTTTTTAGAAAAGATGCTCCTTGTCTGCAAGCTGAGGGAAGGAAGGGAGGGAGGGATGGAGGGGTGGAGGGAGGGAAAGGAAGGGAAGGGATAGGAAACGAAAAGAAAGGAAAAGACAGGAAAAAAGAAATGAAAAGAAAAAAGTCACTTGATGCACTAGCACTGAAAGAAACATGTTCATTTTTATTTAGTGATTAATGAACTGCCCTCAGGTTGATTCAGAATCCTCTTGGTAATTATACTTCTCTTCAAGTATTTGTAGAAGAAAACTCATCTCTCTCCAAGACTCTTAGCGTTCTAATATAGACAGGAACACAGAGAATGCTTTCTTGTCTTGCCACCTTCTCCAACATGATGCCGTTCCTCAGTATTTTGGACTCCAATTGTAAGTTTGTGGAGGCTTCTGCGAGCAGTCAGGAATTCTGATTTTTCAGGGTCTTCAGCTGTGTGGTCAATAGGACTTGTAATCCAGTATACCCGAGGACAGCAGGCTGGCCAGGAAAGATTGTTGCATTGCCTCCTGGGACTTACGGGTGTTAGCATCGGCCATTGATGGACAGGCATGTGGAAACTAGTGGCAGGATATGGAAGTGGCTGGCTTAAAACACCAGCTATGCAGTGGAGAGGGGGAAATCCACACAGGGACTTACAGAGCAGATTACTATATGATTACATATAGTAATCTGTCCCTCAATATACCACCCCTTATTGTATAGTTAATTGTACCTCAACTGGCATTATTGTCTCAATTAGAGGGGGACGAATAAAAAATGGCAATTTGTTGTGATTTGTAATTCGTCAAGGTTAAGGACTCAATGAATACAAATTTACAAATAATCATTAATGAATCAATGAATTGATTTGTCAATTAATCTTCACTTTAAAAGGGTATTAAATTGGCCCCCAAGCACCTAGAGACACCAAATTTGCAGGGACACTTCTTCAGATGGTTTTCTACAAGTCCAAAATGTTTGGTGAATACTGGGTAACAGATCCCTGAAGTATATAGTCACAAGTAGGACACCCCCAGGAAAGCTCCACCCAGGTACTTAGATACTCTGGAGTCACACCAAAGCTTCCTATGTCTTTCCCCAACATTCCTGCTAAGTTTGGTGAAGATTGGATATTGGACATCTGAGTTATTCACCCATAAATTGGATCCCCCAGGATATTTTACCATGCGGCACAGAAGCCCATGGCATTGAGGGAGTTATATTTGGCTCCAGCAGAATGAGAGATCTTTGACACTGAGGTAGCTTGGTTTCTCTCTGGCAGGCACACAGAGGCATGAGGCATTGAGTTTATCTTCAGCAACATCACATTTGCCAGTGAAGTAGAGTTTGCCCCCTCAGGAGGCAATGAGGTATTTGGCAGCAAAGCAGGCTGTTTGGCCCCATCGGACACTGAGGTAGTTGGCAGCAATGTAGGCTGTGGTCCCATCGGGCACTGAGGCACATGGCAGCAAAGTAGACCATGGTGCTGCGGGTTAAACCACTGAGCCACTGGGCTTCTTAATCAGAAGGTTAGCGCTGCAGTTCAAATCCATAAGGCGGGGTGAGCTACGTCCCATTGCTTGTCCCATGCCAACTTACTGAGGCAGTAGAGAGAGACACACACAACAGAACCACTCAGATTTGGGTGGGGCTGGCCTGGCCATGAGGGTGCCTGGAAAGGGTAGGAGGCTGGACTAAGCAGGCAGGAATTTGGAGTGAAGCCCAAGGAGGCTGGACTCCCCAGGCAGGGCTTAAAGTAGCCCCTAGAGTATGTCTCTGGAGGCCCAAGGTTGGGGACCGCTGCTTTAGAGATCTCACGGTTGCACCGTTTCTAATGCCAGTGTGGAAGAAGTAGCTTGTTTGAACAAGCCTTCCTGTAAAAGCAGAACAAATGGAAGATGATGGAGTAAGGGGAAAAGAGGATTCCAGCCCAGCCTCCTCCGTGATGTAAGTCAGACTAAGACGGATAGCCCAGTGAAGCATCTGGACTGGATATATGATCTTTTCAACATTACTAGTTTCCTGGGCTTCACTTTTCATCCTGATCACGAAGTGGCACTCTCTGTCCAAACTAGACTCAGCACGGCAGCCAGCCAGGCAGGGGCTGGTCAGAACTTGGCCC